TGCTCCAATTAAAACCGTCCATCATCTCGATTCGCAGCGCAGAGTTTCGGTACACTAATCTCTGGAAACGCTTCGCAAGTGCGAATGTGTTCGACACAAACACTTTTCTATTATCAATCTATCCCGACCTGCACGCATTCATTATTCTCGGATTTGCCAACTTTTCCAAGCACCACTTCCACATTGTTTTTCAGCTACTTTTCGCAACGCGCAGCATTTTTGTGCTAACTAAGGACCTAATTAAAATGACATTCATCGGAAAAATCAATGTCTCCTCAAGTTTAAATTAAAATCGGAAGCTGACCCGGAGTTTTAATCAAACAGAAACTTGTTCTATACCTTTATATAACTTGACAATTCCAGAGTACTGGCATGTCGGCAAGGTAGGTACATATATAAATATAATGTGACATTGGTTCGACGGGGCACACACAGTGATAAAATAGCAGGACGGTCTGACCGCAATCAACGTCCGACGCCCCGACACGAATCGAAAATAAAAGAGACTCGCTCCACTCTGGATGCAGCAGGACGAACGTGTCACGTTCAGCAGGCCAGTCGTCCGGTGTGTGGCCAGGTGAAATTCGATTTGCATATGCAGATAAACCCGTATGCGAGTAGTGCGGCCAGGAGTGAATACATTTATACTGATATGAAATAAATTGCGGATTTTTTGAGTTTTTATTCGATGAGAATGAGAAATCATCCTTGCGAATAAGCAATCGCGACATAATTATACATACGGTTGGAAAATGCAGTGTGTACGTCGCAGAAAATTCGTTGCGGGGGCGGCGGTGGTTTCGAGTGCTTTTGTTTGCTTTCCGTTTGCGCGTGTGCTCACCGCTCGCAATCATACAGATGAGAATACTCTCATGCAATGCGATGTATATACCTGTGCGCCCGCCATCGGCGGTGGCAGCGGTGGCGGCGGATGTGTGTCATACGTGCAACGCCGCGCAAATTGACCTAAATTAATTTACACCTCGAAAATGCGTCAGCGTGTTTTTGTCGAATGCAGTAATTATCCACGTATAAGACTAGCCAAATATTTACCTGCATGATGAAAATTAGATATTTGACAAAGTAAATTAAATTCGCGTCTATTGAGATAAGAAGTATGCGCGGTGGAGTTAGAGCACAGGTCGTAAAGTTAAAGTTTCCATCTGTGCGCGACGCCGTTTCGTATGCAAAGTTTTTCACTCTTTGGTGTTTTTATTCTCCGGCCATGTTCACCTAACGCGTGTGTAACTCTCGTGTAGATGGCCCTAATATCCATATCAATGGTGCTTTCCTCCACGGAGAAGTTTGCATGAGAATCTGGGCGTATGTTTCTATTACTTTATTTTTTCGTTTTTTCACAGAGCAGAGAAAATGAACAAAAAACATAGAACTACAAACTGTGCGCATGCGCAACATATGCAAATGTAGCATAAATATAATTAGGTCGAATTTAACACACCTTGGAAATGTTATGCTTTATTCATTAGTCAGCCCTAGACGTAAATCATCAAAAACGAACTAATTATTTAGTTTTACTAGACAACTCGTTAGATGGCGCTACTTTATACCCATCATAACCTCAAAAATAACCTAAAAAATGAATAATAATTTACAATATTACATTTTGCGTGTCTGACACGACCACCACAGTATTTTTTGTTCTTTCAGAGTGAAGATAAAGTGTAGAACACAAAATGCCAAATCATCCTATTTATCTCCCCGTCGGGTAATTTTCTCATACGCTTCTACAAGCTGAGAAGTCGTTACCGGAGTGTAACACGTCTAATGCAACAACAAACAACGCGTGCGCCCACGCCAAGCTGCCTCCTGAGAGTCCTGGGATGTGCCCTACTCACGAATATCTTAATAGCGCCGTTAGAGACAACACAATGGCTCGGATAGTGCAGAAACGGATAGATAATGTGCAACTATTTCCTGCGAACACGCGCATCCCGCTGAGTTCCACAGCAGTGAATTAAACTTGCTGAAATTGAAAATTAAGAAGAAATTCGCGCGCGAGGCTGTCAAGAAGTGAAATATTACCTATGTTCTGACGAATAGGTAGGTAGGTAGTACCACGATGCCCAGCATCAAAGGCAGGAAAGCAGCAGGAAGGAAACGCTCGAAGCTCGGCGAAAAGCTTTATTAGCATTATTATCATATGCACAAAGATCGCGCGCAAGCGTGCGAAAGCCGCCGAAATCTTGCCGTCGTCTGATGGCTTTCACTGCGACTCACGCCACCACCACCCTGACTTAATTGCTTTCATTAATTACGATAAGCAGGGTGCAGAAGGGCACCCTATTCCCTTGCATAATTCACTTATTCTCGCCGAGTTATTAAACTTATTGTCATAACTTACGTTTCTTATTAGAATATAAAAAGCGAACGGCGTAATATTCCGCATGCATAAATTGATAACGCATACATAGATTTAAATTGAAAACTGATGGAAAAGCGCTCCAAACTGAATATTTATAAATTCTGCTTCTGGCTGCGCGGGCATCAGAGCTAGGCTTTTTCAATTTTTCAACGCGCATCGAATCAGGAATTGCAAACCGACCGCGATAAACTGAGAGTAAAAAAAAATGAGGGAAAAAAAGAAAAGGAAGCGTTTATTCCGGCGTTCGGAGCGCATTCGTATTTTATTCGCCCGTTCACTCCATTTCCATTCGATTCGCACATCTCATAATACTCAATATTTGTTAGCAAATATTTGCGTGTCGCATGTTTAAACAATTTCGCGGACACGGAATTAAATATTAATAATAAATCAATTTCATGGTCGCATAAAAGTCATATAAACTACGCGTACCTAAACGAACCAAAATGAAAAGGATAATTTATCGCAATTGGAAAATTTTGCAAATAATGAAATTTTACACCTTTATATTTGAATTCATCACTGCAAATGCAAATTTAATCAATGCTTCAGAAAAAAATGCAATTTTATGCGCACAATGCGCACAATCAGCCAACGTTGCAAAATTAATTCATAATTGACGTGCCTAAGCGCAACTAGAGTACAACGAATCAATATTTTGGAATTTCAGCATTCCGCTCTAGACAAAACGGTTTAAAGCTCATCTTCAAGAAAATTTATGTACAAAACTTGAATGTTTTGCATATAAACGACGTAAACCTAGCCACAAAGTAAAAAGAAGAAAAAAAAAGTTATGTTTTCATAACTTTCTTTTTTATTAGGTATATATTCATGCGATGCAACCACGAGGAAAAATACACAACACAAAGTTAGCCACAAAACCCCACGGACCTACGATAAAAGCACTGCTAGTTTTGCATAGGTGAATACAAAAACTTTTCAAAAGTGTCAAAAATGCTGACTAGCATATTCCTTTGTGGTTTTCCATTGTAATATTAATGCAATCAGATTAAAAGCTGGTTGCAACAATATAAACTATGATTTTCGTAACAATTTGCATGATAATACTTTGATTATAATAAAAATTACACAGTAATGTTGTGTTTTCTTTTAATCCGAAAAATTTTCCAGCATGTTTACTTTCTCCACGTTTCGTTCAACATGCACGCGAAATATTATGCGCATTTTTGCTTCCTGCGACGACAAGATACTCGAGTGAAAACAGACACTTGTGATGAAATGATGTGCACTCTCTTTTCTGCTCGCGCATCACGATATGCGACAGGAAGTAAACACACATAGAGACCGTTTCTTCGTTTCGTCAATGGCAACACTTTTACATGTTTTGAGCGTTTATTTTTTGTTTCGCCAAAGAAAGATTATACGTAAATATAAGGCTGGATGAGAAGAATGAGACGTAAAATGAGAAAATAAGGTATGTATCGAAATGAGTCTGCATTGAGCGCAACAACGCAACACAAAAAACGGAAAGAAACGAAAAACACTCTCTTTTTTATTGTACAATAAACAACGGGACTCTTTTAGTCTACGCGCGCGCGGAGTGCCTACGTTGATATAAAGCGCGTGAAGAACTCGCCGAAAAGAAGACTTCTTGCTCTATAAAACAACCATCGATGCTTGCAAATAAATAGGAAAATGTATAAAAGTTGCGCTGTTTTTTTTATCGTACGGCATGCGGAGCAAGTAAATTGACTATCTAACAAGAATGAAATAAAAAATAAAACCATTTGTTTTATGCTTCAATTGTAAAACAAACTCGCTGTCTATTTATATTTTTAAAGACAATATTTTTTTCATCACGACGACGACGAAAAAAACGCCACGTTTTTGTTCATGTTGTTGTTGTTGTTCTTGTTGTTTCTTTTTGTTTTTATGCTCCGGCAGAGTTTATCCTGGAAATTGTACCAATGAATCGTCTGGGAACTGGGATTTCACCAATCCGGAGAAAACTTATTTTCCGACGCTATGATGTAGCTCTGACAAACGGAAGCGACCGACAATAGAAACGAACATCCCGGACATCGACAAACCGAACGCGAAAAACGGAAACTGACGTTGCTTTATCAAAGAAACAAAAGAAGATCCAGAAATAGCAAAAAATTAACTCAAAAATCACCACGACTTTAATTTCACCTGCGATTAAAAGCGTGAAAAGCATTTAAACGCAAATCTGAACAATTTGCATACAAGTTTTGCTGCTTTCGACGCGTCACACAAAGTTGGCGGCTGGCATTTGCTCCTAATAAAAGCTAATATCGTCACGTACACTTAAACGCATTGCCGTTTAGTCACTGACAAGCTGGCGGCGCGCAATCGGCGTGTAAATGCGCGCCAGTGCGTCGCAAAATTTATTCAACCGTACTCGCACACAGCTGCCGCGTGAAGAGACGAGGAGAAGGAATCCATCCACAGCTGACGCCTTTGGAAACAAGATGACTTTTCTGGCGGCGCGTGAAGAGTTTCAGTGTTGCGAAGTTTAAGCGGCGGTTAAGGATCCGCAAAAGTTGCAAAACTTTTCGTAACTTACAAGTTTTAGAACGTAATAATCATCAACCGGCGTAAAGAGCACAACTAATACTATTTAATGCGATTTTACCGTGTGTCAAGTTGTCCGGTGGTAATTTTCTTCTGATGAGAGAACTGATTTGCACCAACAACTGCACCAAGCGACACGTGAGCGAGTTTGCCGAAGGATGACGCGAGTAGAACTGGTGGAACGATAACGCAACACACCGCCACAACGCGACCGCCACCTCTACGACGGACGCGGCGTACGCCACGCCCTCTCGTTTACTCTTTGCAATTTGCACCAAATAAGAAACAATCATCAATAATACTCATTAATATATAAATATCTATTAAATATCCATAAAAAATTCCGTTTTATTTCATTTTTTATTTTTAATAAAATAAAATTTTTTGTTTACTGTATGTTATCCTGTTGGTGGCAACAAAGTAACTCATATTTTAATTAGACCTCGTTAGTCGCCTGCTAATCTCCTTAATCCAAACATTAATCTAAGCTTAATTAGCGCGCATCGGCGGTGTGAAAATTCCCTCCTTGTCGGAGGCGGCAATAAATGTGACGGGAATTTATGTGCAACGTGTAGAATTTAGTAACACAAAAAAATGTTTTTCTCCTTTTCATTCCGCGCACGTTTCTGATGCAGTAAATTTCATTGATTGAAGCGCAATTTCGATGGCAACAATAATTTTGATAAACGCCGGAAGTAAATGATCCCCGAAATTATCGACTCCTTTCAATTTATCCTCCGAATAAGTCTATTTTTATCCGCATTTCCGTCTAATTTTAGTATCGCAAAAAAGGCGAGCGGTTTCCTTAATTTTACGTTCGTTTTTATTTTCGGTTTGCTCTTTTAAGGTGAAATGTTCGGTGGGAAGCGAGCAAGAAAACCCTAATTACACATAAATTTCCTGTCCTTCGACGCTTCGAGGCGATATTCAAGGGATATTCAGCAGTCGGAATGATCTTGTGGCGCTTGTCAGCTGTACCTAATCGTTTAGCGCCGCGCCGCCGACGCCGCCACCGCCGACGGCCCCATTAAGCTCGGCGCGACTGCGTCTCCTTTTTTTTCTGCTTCTGCTGCTGTACCAAAACCAACTCTTCTCCGCACTGTTCTCAGTCTTATTTCTCCTTATTGCTTCCCTGATTGCGCCCCCGCACTTTCGCCGTTGCTGAAAGGTAATTTCACCTTTTTGGGTCCGCAGATGCTTTTAATAAAGGCAGAAAAACAAGCCAAGGCGAAGCATAAGTTCGTTTTAATGGACTCTAGGCACAGTCCTTGAGTAAATAATCATGATCAACGGTTAATAAATAACGATGCAACCATGCTTTTTAATCCTGGCATTTCTACGTAATTGGGAAATTTATTTTTTCCTACAAAACCTCTTTGTTTAATAATGCAACGCAAAAAATTAGCAGTGAAAAGTCAGAAATGCAAAGAAACCTTTTTCCGTGCGACATTCATTGAATCAAATGCACACTAAGCGGATTTTCGCCGCCGGCTTAGTTTTAATCTAATTAAATTGCATTTTATTTGCATGATACCCTCATAGAATGAAAGGATTTTCAGAAAATAATACAAGATAAACAAGAATTTAACTCGAATATCTGATGTGAAGTTTTACATTTTAGTTTCTATTTGCTTTCGAATCAATAACTTGTTCAAACAAGTTGAGAAGTAAGTAGACAAGTAGAGATTTGGAAATAGGAAACTTGTAATTGAAACCCAGCGAAAGCAATCGCCGGAATATTGGCGCAAAGCCGAATTAAAATACAGATACAGACGCATAGCAATTTTGAATGTTGCAAAATTACATCGAGCTTCAAATCTCAACAAGTGATATTATTAGTGTCTTGGGCAGACCAGTGGTAAAATATATGTAGATATACATCCGGGCGTATTTGGCATATAATCCGGCGTGAAGAAGTTTAAATCGAATTTATTATGCATATATCGAGGGTTTGCGGTGTGCGCGCGCGGCGAAGCATCAAATCTTGGCCCGCCGAGTGTTCCCAGGACGATTGTGAAGCATAATCCCAAAGTGTAATTACAACAACCGCACGTCGGGCAGCCGCGCCGCGACCTTTTCCGAGAGGTGGCGGCGCGTCGAGGTGATAAAACAGTTCGGTTTGGTTTGCGGATTTGCGCTGACTTAACTCCACGCCGGCCGCTACAGAACTTTGCCATCTCAAACCCTCAATACAAGTGAATAATTCAAGACGAAAATTTCATATTTCACCACGAAATTTCATGCGTTAATTAAGTAAATGAGTTTTTATTGCTCGGTTTATTTTCCTACCACGTATTCGGTTCGGATAAATAATTGATTGAATGATTAAATTGAAGCGCGCCACTTCAATACGTTGATTGATGGATGGTTTGATTAAAAGATTAAAAGCGGCCGCGAATTACAACGCGGCGCACTCATCTGTGCGGATTTCTATGCTTTTTTCAAACAAATATTCGCGCGTTGGCTGCATAATAGAAATAATCCGGATAAATATTTTTTTCAACAAAACATTACGTTCTGTTAATAAACTTTTTTCTGCATTGAATTTTTTTTCTGCATCACTACACAAAATAAATTCAGCGCATTTTTTATTTTATTTTAAACTCCGGATATTTCCATTCTAATTTTATAATCTTGCAGGTAATAAATCAAATGCGCTTGTGCCTTTAGGGGCGGCAAAAACGACGAGAACCGGCAAACGTCGACCGCCTCCTCCGGCCCAATTACCACCGGTTGTAAATTAGATAAGTGTATAACTGTAATATCTTGGAATGATCTTGTAATATCTCTCCAACGTCGTTGCCACTCCGTTCCGCTGATATAACTAGCTTATAGCTGCTGCGCAAAATACTCTCGACGGCAGTGGTGGCGGTGGCGCGCAGACCGATTTATCTGATTAACTGCAGCCGAGACGCAGTTAACGCGCGTACATTTATTGCCGATACATCTCCGTGTGCTAATCGTGACCACACAACCAGGGAGAAATAGATATAGGTGCGCGAGGCAGGAAAGTACGAAAACGCATTAGTGGCTAGTGTCCCACTGTCCAAGCGATATTGGTTTATCGCCGAATCTATAACAAATCGTCCTGTGAGTGCGCTCCCTATACGAAGTCATTTCATTCACAAATCGATGCTTATCTGAATGCGTTTTCCTAAATTTAGCTGCATTACAAGCGCTAGCATTTGAAATGAAACATAATTTTTCATCCGCGTGTAATTTGCATAGAAGAATGTGTAAAAGAAATTTTCTATGAGTTTCAAGTAGGTTGGAAAGTGCATATGCAAAATGCCGGTAGGAACAAAGTGCATATAAACCCACCGGAGAATAGAAGCACATCAATTGCAATATAAATGCAAAGTATGGTTATCCGCATGTATAAATCTCAATAATAATGTAATTTTTACCTTAAACTTTCAGGATTAAAATGGAATTACTATAACAGGAATTCGTTAATTGTAAAATTACTGAAGATGTGTCAAATTCACTGTTTAAATAATTTTTTATCATAAAAAATTCTTCATTTTCATATCGTACTTTGCAAATATTCAAAAATCAGCTGTTTAACGCTAGTAATAAAATTATTCGAACTTATTTCCGGTTTAACAAATTCTCCAAATAAAGATGTGACAGGAAAAAATAACAAAATTATTCGTTTTTCACAGAAACGCATAGAAAAATTCAGTTAAAGATATGATTGGTATTGTAAACATTGTGACGAAGCTAATGAAGCAATGCTTGATAAAATTTCTCGACGTTTTTTGATAGTGAATTTCTTCTAAACTAAAAGCGCTAGAATCCAACAAATTGCAGATTATGAAAGATTGAAAAATTCTCTATTAGATTATAATAAAAAATAATTAAATATCGTAGGGTAAAAGGGCAAAAAATGTGATTAAAAGATTGGTAAATTCAATTCGTAAGTTTTAGAAGCAAATTTTATGATTTATTCGTACTTTCCTAACCATTCCCAAAAATACTACACTCCCACAAAATCAATTTTCTGAATGTTGCGTTATTAACGAACAAAACCACAAAGATAACGAAAATAAACCCAAAGTGCTCATATTTTGCCCCCCGACAAACTTATTAGACTTATGAGGTAATAAACTTTTAATCGCTTGTTTTAACCAACTCGGTTATCCTTCCGCTGCGCTAACCATTAACAAAAGCCCTAGTTAATTAATAATCCTCCATGCGTGATTACTGCAGATTTCATCCGAGCCAAATCGTATGCTTTTGACGCTAATTTTCGGCTCTAGTTTTAGCCATCCGCTCAGATTACGCTTTAATTCGATAACGGTCTCAACATAAATATTGCAACAACTGAATAATAACACCTTCGTTTTTCCGAGTAGATATAAGAGAGGCGCGTCGAGTTTATTTGCAGCGCGTATTTTAATTAAAGAATTCCCGTAGGTCTCACCGATCTAGTTTCCCAGCAACAGCCGCTACCGCCGCCGCTGCCGCCTCGGCGTGTTTCTGTTATCCTGTTACCGCCGCACAGTGTAGACGCGTGGCACCTCGCTCCGATGACGACCGTGAGCCACCTGTTGCCATGGCTACACCGCCCCCTATTTTCTTGCGTATGCCTGCGAGCGCTTAGCGTTATAGTACTCGCGATGTTATTATAAATGAGGATCGCGTGTTGTGTGTGTGTGTACATTCAAAACTCACGCTGTTTGTGTTTACACAAGTGTGCCAGCTGCGCTGATCAGTATACACTCACACAAACAAACATTTAGATAAGTTTCCGGTAAATATTTATGAATTCAGTGTGGCTAGCGCCATCTGGCGAGTGAAAGATATACTCAACTTACAAATTTTTACGTAGTTATCCTTTTTTTACGTAAGATGTCGCGATACGTTTGTGGATTGTAAATTTAAAATTTAAACACTTATTGTTAATAAAATATAAAAAATAAAAGTACTTACATAAATAATACAGCTCCAAGCTATCCAAATCGGTAGTCTTTTTCTCTGCAGTGATAGAATGCCATACTAAAAATAAAATCGAGTTTAGTTTAGAAACAGGAAATTAAAAGCGATCGAAAACGCAATAAACCACCAACAACATTACTAAATGTTACATTACATTTGACTGATTCTATTAATAAAACCTCATTTGCACTCGAATTATTTTCCGTAACGCGTGTGACAAAACTAAACGGTCAT